TTAGAAACATCGATGAGAGAGAGTCATCGATCAGCTGCCTCTTGCACACCCGCCACTGGGGATATGTCCGCAACCAAGGTACATGCTCTTGACCGGAATCGAACTCGGGACCCTTCAGTCCCCAAGCCGATGCTCTATCCATTGAGCCAAACTGGTCCCGGCCCAGGTAAATATTTTTATAAAGATTGATATTTCTTTTTGACAGTTCTACAAAAACCTTGTTCACCAATGCCCTCAACATATTTTTATATTCATCTAATTAATTTTAGGTCAAAATCCTGGCCAGAAAAGAATGCTTAGAGAGGAAAAAGGAATCAATGTCAATTTCTTGGCTCTGACTGTTATACTCTGGTCATGTAAGACGTCACCAGTGGGGGAGACTCAGTGAAGGAATATATGAGACCTCCCTGGATTTTTTTTTTTTTTTTTTGCAACTTCTTATTACTCTATAATTATAATTTACAATTATTTAAAAAATAAAAATTAAAACAATACATGCACATGGTAAAAAATAAATTCAAAAGAGTATACACAAAAAGGGTATACAACCAATAAAGTCCCTCTCCTACCTCCGGCTCTATATTAACAACCATTTAAAAAGCCCATTTATGGCCCTTGCTGGTTTGGCTCAGTGGATAGAGCCTCGGCCTGTGGACTGCAGGATTCAATTCCAGTCAAGGGCAAATGCCTGCGTTGTGGGCTCAAACTTTAGTAGAGGGCATACAGGAGGCAGCTGACCAATGATTCTCTCTCATCATTGATATATCTCTTCACCCCCTCTACCTTCCTTTCTCTCTGAAGTCAATTCATATATTCTAAAAAAAACAAAAAAAACAAACAAAAAAAAGCCCATTTTTTGGGAGAAGTCTTTAATGCTTTGGAGTGGGAGAGGCTTTCTTATTATGTCTCAAAATAAAAAAAAACTTCAATAATTTCCCTAAATATAAAATACTATAAATCTATGAGGAAAATGGGTAGAATTCACATGGACAGTTTACAAGAAATGACATAAAATACTCAACATCTCATTCATAATAAAAATACAAAATCCTATATAATAAAAAGGTAATGTGCAAATTGACCACCACTCCAACACACAAAGTGGCCACCCCTATGTGGACACAAAATGGCTGCCACAAGATGGCCAGCAGGGGAGGGCAGTTAGGAGCAATCGGGCTGGCAGGGGAGTGGTTAGGGGGTAATCAGGCAAGCAGGCAGGCGAGTGGTTGGGAGCCAGCAGTCCTGGATTGTGAGAGGGACCCCAGATTGGAGAGCGTGTAGGCTTGGCTGAGGGACAACCCTCCCCATCCCACCCCACCCCCTGTGCATGAATTTCATGCACCAGGCCTCTAATAAAACTATAATGTAATACCACTTGCCTACACAGATTGGCAAACATATTAAAATTTAATACACTGCTAGGGAGGCTGTAGGAACATGGGCCTTCTCATGCAGCACTGCTTCAAGTGGTATAATCTATACTAGTGTAGAGAGCAATTTGGTTTTATTTAATTTTACACACACACACACACACACACACACACACACACACACACATTTACTCTTTGAGCCAGCAATCCTACATCTGGGTTTATCCTATAGATATTTATACATACACAAGAAATAATGTATTTAAAAGGGTACTCATTATATTACTGTTTATAACAGCAATGCTCTATTAACAGGGAATTGATAGAGCAGTGAGTGTATCATGGTAGAGCACCCATTCAACTGAATACTACCCATTTATAAAACAAAACAAAACACCCACAAAGATGCTTTTCTGTGTACTGAAATGGAAACAATGTGCCTTGGAGATCTTTAAAAGTAAAGATACAGATGTGTATATATTAGTATTTGTCAAAGGAGGAGATAATAATGTATATTGTATTTGTTGTATACGAATAAAGAAATGGGAAGGATATACACATACACTTTATGAAAGTGGTTATATGTTTGGGAAGGCAGGTAGATAGGGGACAGGGACAGAATTAAGACTATTTTCATTAAATTTTGGAGAATAATGAAAAATATTCCAAAATGAAAGTAACTAATGGAGTTTTTATCCTGTACAAGACATGAACAAATGGCAAACTGAAAAAGGGGAAAGGAGGGAAGAGGAGCCAACAACTCCATTTTCTTTAAGAAATGTTTCATTCCAGAAGATAAAAGTACTATGGTCAACATAAGAAACAACAATAAATGTTATATTTGTGATTTGTAAAATTTATTTTCTTGGCTTATGTTGAATTATAGTCACTTAAAAATTTGGTATAAATAATGTTTATAATGCCCAGTATAGTTACTTCTGTTTATAGTGATTCTGGTAAGTAAACAGTAAAAGTTTATAATAAACATAATACAATAGGCTACATAAAACTTACATAATAAAAAATGTTACATAAAAATGCATTTCAAAGAAGGTGTAGGTAAGATTAATATTAACTTTACCTTTTGTGTGTGTGTGTGTGTGTTTTGTTGTTAATCCTTATCCAAGGCTATTTTTCTATTGACTTTTAGAGAGAGTGGAAGGGAGAGTGACACATAGAGAGAAACACAGATGTAAGAGACACATCGATTGGTTGCCTCCTGCTCCTAAGCCTGACCAAGGTTGGAGATAGAGGAGCTTGCAACCAAGGCCATGTGGCTTTGACCAGAATCAAAACCAGGATTATTCAGTCGGTGGGCCGACATTCTCTTCACTGAGCCAAACTGGCTAGAGCCTAACTTTACCTTCTTTTTCCAAATCTCTTTAACATTTCTAAGTTATGATCTTTGGGGGAAATTATTTTATTATTTGGTAATAAAATTCTGATATAATTATAGCTTTTTCTTGTAGAGCCACTCTAAGTAAACAATTAAAAACGAACTGAACTAAAATTCTATTAAAACATTCAAGATGAGAGATATAAAAGTTCAGTATGGAAAAACTAAAAACTGATACGAAAGTGAAATACAATACAGCATTACAACTCAAATATTTCAAATAAATTAATAAAGTTTAATATATTATTTCAAGTTAAATACTTAAATGGTATAAGAACATGAAATCATACCTACTTAAGATAAATGAGCATATCCACTAGCTAGTTATTTCTTATTAGACTAACATTAAGGTTTGACCGGATGAAAAATGCATTTCCTTCCTCTGAGTCAGAATGAAATAAGAAAGGGTATGAGAAAGGGGTGGGAGGAGGGTGGCATTTCCTCAATGTTGGAATGCTTACATTTAGAGCAGGCTCTCTTGACAAGAGATTGCATTGTACTGTTTACACTGCAGCAATCATTTGATGATAGCACAATTCATTACTAGAGAATGAAGGATACACGCTAAGGGGCTTAAGTCCAAATTAAAAATTTGACACTATAGTCCTGGCTACTTTAAATTATTTCCTGGGAGACTGAAAATAGTATATGACTGATAATTATCTAGACTGAGATATACACTGGTACCTATGAGTAAAAAAGGGGAGAGGGATTAGAAAGGATTTCAAATTTTGCCAGTTGGTGTCTAGCTCAGAATACTGAACAAAAATCTGAATAACCTAGTTATACTGGAAAGGAATGAAGTGGATATCGTTCCATATATTCCTTCTAGATATTTAAAAAAATATTCCTTTAGTCTTTTGGGATGGAAGTTGTTGATACCCAACTTCTATAAACATCAGAATTTAGCAATTAAAGTATACCTTAATATATAATAGTAAAAGATCTATGTTTTCCTTTTAAAGATACTTTATTTTTAAAGAGAGAAACATCGATGTGAGAGCAACACATCAAATCAATCAATCAATCAATCAATCAATCAACTGCTGCCTCCTGCACACCCTCTACTGAGGATCGATTCAAAAACTTGGGTATATTCTCTCACCAGGAATCTAACCAGCAACCTTTTGGGATGATGCCCAACCAACTGAGCCACACAGACCAGGGCAAGATCTATGTTTTTCAATACTGATATTAGGAACCATCTTTCCTAGAAAATACAAAATTTTAAAAGGAAAAAAAATCAAGAATTGTTAATATAAATTAAGGCATTAAAAACCTAAGTAGGAATTTAAATTATTTCAGCTGTGTTAGGAAAATAATAAAGATTTAGAAATGACCATCGAGGGAAAGGACTATGTTTAACTGCCATTTTATCATAAAAATTAATAATCCTTCAAAAGGGTGATAATAGCATTCCCTCCCTCTGATTACAAGCAAATAATAGCACTTTCACTACTTAAGTAGAGTAAATGTATAGAAAAAATGAACAAAACTAGAGAAAAGACACAACAGAAAAGAATATCAAGGGAAATACAAATAACTCTTAAGATTTGATGCTTTTCAGGGACCAACAAACACTGAATAAACTTTCACCCAGCAATAGGTATAGAAACTTTAATGCAAGCTAAATCCATCTATCATTTCTAAAAATAATTCAGAATTCTTCAGCAATGACATAATGGGCCAAAAAGGGTAGGAAATCAGAAACTATTTTACTAATTGATGTCTTTCCCCCATTCCAAATGCCAACTCAACTTTTTAAATTGGATATCCAAAACTCACTGAGATCCTCCATGGTTTACTTGCACTTTCTTTACTCATACTGTTTCTTACTACCTAAATACTTCAGTGAATATTCTATCATTCTTTTATAGCTTTAGCTAAAATATTTTCTGTAAAAGCTTCTCTAACTCCTTCAGAAGTAGTATAGTGAGTCATGTCCCATACTACTTTTATGGCACTAATCATATAAGGCTGTGTTTTCTATTTTTTATACATTTTTAAATTGATTTCAGAGAGGAAGGGAGAGGAAGAGTGACAGAAACATTGATGATGACAGAGAATCATTGATTGGCCACCTCCTGCATGCCTCCTACTGGGGATCGAGCCCGCAACCTGGGCATGTGCCCTTGATCGGAATCGAACCTGGGATCCTTCAGGCTGACACTCTATCCATTGAGCCAAACCAGCTAGTGCAAGGTTGTGTTTTAACAGTTGCTTCTATTGCCGAGACCGGTTTGGCTCAATGGATAGAGCGTCGGCTTGGGGACTGAAGGGTCCCGGGTTCGATTCCGGTCAAGGGCATGTACCTTGGTTGCGGGCATATCTCCAGTAGGGGGTGTGCAAGAGGCAGCTGATTGATGACTCTCTCATCAATGTTTCTAACTCTCTATCTCTCTCCCTTCCTCTCTGTACAAAATCAATCAAATATATTTTTTTAAAAAAAAGGAATATTTAAAAAAAATAATAATAGTTGCTTCTATTTATTACTAGACAAAGGCCTAAGTGGCATACAAAATCCTATATAATAAAAGGCTAATATGCAAATAGACCAAATGGCAGCACAGCTAGTTGCTATGACACACACTGACCACCAGGGAGGGGGCAGATGCTCAACAAAGGAGCTGCCTCTTGGTGGTTAGTGCAGTGGTAGTGGTGAGAGCCTCTCCTGCCTCTGAGGGAGCGCTAAGAATGTCCAGCTGATGGCTTAGGCAAGGAGCAGGCCTAAGCTGTCAGTCAGACCTCCCCTGAAGGCTCCTGGACTGTGAGAAGTGCAGGCTGGGCTGAGGGACCACCCCTCCCCCAAGTGCACGAATTTCGTGCACCAGCCTCTAATTTACTATAAGGTTGGCACCATCTACTAAAGGATTCATATGCTATAGAAGCCTGGACTCGCAAATTGTATACCTGGAATTTGAATCCTAAATATATTACAACTGTAGTTTCTCTAGCTATAACAATGACGTAGCTGTACTTACTGGATTACCCTCAAAGCTGCTTCCTTAACAGCAAAATTATTTTCCAAGCAGTTCTTGGAGATGGGTAATGCTATTTTTTTTTTTTTTTTTTTTAAAGAAAAAGTTTTTTTGTTTGTTTTTTTTGTAATGTATTTTTATTGATTTAAGAGAAGGGAGAGATAGAAACATCAACAATGAGAGGGAATCATTGATTGACTGCCTCTTGTACACATCCTATAGGGGATGGAGATTGCAACCCAGGCATGTTCCCTTGGCTAGAATGGAACCAAGGACCTTTTAGTCCACAGGCCGATGCTCTATCCACTGAGCCAACTGGCTAGGGCGGTAATGCTATCATTTTAATTAAAAACAAATAATTAAGGAAAAATTATTTAATCTCATTCCTCATTTTCAGTCTGAAACCAAACTTGCCACATATTTTTGCTACCTAATATATAATTCATACATCTAGGTAATCTAAATTCTTTTGGATGCAATGGGTTATAAGTACCGAACTGAACTAACTTTGCCTCCTATTTCCTATAGAGCCAAATCTCTATAACACTTATTTTTCTAGTGAAAAATGATAAATCCAAGTTTGTCTCCTCTGCACAATGCCAACACCTGATAAATATTGGTTGGAATGATATGAAGTTGGACAGTGTCCACAAGTGGGAAGATCACCTGATGTGGAATTCAGGTTACTCTCATTGGGCTTTTTTCCCTCAACATTAGTTCCAAAAATTTTTATAGAACTTAGTGTAACCAACCACTCAAATGTGATCTCTTTTTGTCTTGGGAGGAGGAGATGGGGAGAGGGGGAGAGGAAAAGATAGTACATTCAAGACAGATACTGAAAAGAAGTTATCTAAGTAAGGGGAAAGGATATGACTACAAAATGCTTGGTCATGGGAATAAGCAAGGTAAAATGATAGTTTTTACAATTAAGCACAAAGAATCTGTGAGAGACCAGAGGGATGATTAAAAGACAAAAATAAAAACAACAACAACAACAACAACAAAAAATACACATAAAAGCCAAGGATGACTGGAGTGTTTAGCTTGGAGCAACTAGGAGTTGGGGAGATGGCTAATTTCTTCACAAGAAGAAAGCTAGATTTTGTTAGTGTGAGTAGCAGAGGAATCTGGGAATAAAGATGAGAAAATGAGAAATACAAGTTTCACTTGGGATTGAATTTTGAGACATCTGAATTATAGATCCTGGAAATATAGAAAGAAGGTGGCTGGAAATAGGCATCTAGAACTCAGGAGTAATTTCTGACCTAGAGGTCTAGAATTGAGAGTTGCCCAAATGTGAGTTGAGCTTGCTTTAAACAGTGAGAAATCAAATGGGTTCAAAACACCAACACATAAATAATTAAGGAAGAGTTACGGAAACTAACCTTCTTGGAAACCTTTTTAAAATTTTTTTATTTCACTGACTGCCTTCATATTTCCCTCTTTTTTCCCCCTCAAGCATTCTACTACTTTTTTTTTTTTTTTTTCCAATTAAACAGCTATTCTTGAACAAATCCTTTCAATCCCATTTCCACAATGAGGCTTAACCAAATGTGTGGAAATAAGACTATCCCCTATAATACCAAATGCCAAATATTAGAGAAGAGCACATAGATAATTTTGCTCACATCATAACTCATCTTTTTTTTCTTCATTTATGCACATTTCATTTATGCATATTTATGTAGAGGTGATACTTAAAATAATGTTATAAGAAAAGCATAATTCTATAGGCAATGTATTTGACAAGTAAAATTATATTAGGATGATCTGGTCCAAACCCAGCTTTTGTTCCTAAGTTGTTAACTAATCTTTCTTTGCTTCCTTACATTCCTTCCTAATTTGTCCCCAAAGTTCAGGGACAGTAATGAATAAAAATAGAGGTTATTGAGGAACTGTTTCAAAACATATAAAACCAGAAGAATGAGAGTACCATGAGGTTTTTAAAAAGACAGTTGTTTCATTCAGATTTAGACCAAAGGAACAGCACCAAGCATGGTCATCACCCCTTAATAAAAAAATAATTTGTATGGGGGGGGGGGGGAGATCTGTTCTACTTTACTTTTACTCAATCAATGAATGTTTTGCATTTGGAATGTTTAAAGATTTAGACTGGCTTGGGTTTGACTAAAAAAATACATTGCTCATCTTCAATAAACATAGAGATAGTACTGGGAACATATGCCCTACAGAATTAGTTTTCTAGGTTATCAATTTACTACCACTAGGCTTAACTCTCTTTTGCTTTCTACTTCATTTTGGGGATAAGAGAGCTTACCTCTTTTAGCATCTGTTTAAGCAAAAGGCTGGATTATCAAGGAATAATAAAGTTGCTTAAGAAGACAGGCTTTAGCCTTATACTTACTAGTGGGTGATCCTACCAAGTTAATATACTTATGCCAGTTTCCTCATCTGTCACATGGGATCATAATTATAACTACCTTAAGGAACTAATGTGAGGATTATATGAGATTTTTTACAATAGTAAACATTTATAAATTAATTTCTTCTACTGTTTGAATCAATTAGAATTGGACACTATATAAGGTCTACTACCTCAGTGTATCTTGTTACAAATGAAGCATTGAGGTATAAATACACATCTAGTATCATCAGTATTAAAAACCAGCCTTTGGCTCTAGCCATTTTGGCTCAGTGGATATAGTGTCGGCCTGCAGACCAAAGGGTCCTGGGTGAGATCCTGATCAAGGACACATACCTGGGTTGCAGGTTTCTCTCTGATCTAGGCCCTGATTAGGGTCGTACAGGAGGCAATCAACTGATGTGTTTCTCTCACGTTGATATTTCTCTCTGATTTTCCCTCTCTCTAAAAATCAATGGAAAAATATTCTCAGGTGAAGATTAAAACAACAAAAAACCCCCAAAAACAAAACAAAAAAACCTCACAGCCTTTCTATGTATGTCTCATTCCAAAAAATGAAATAATTCTAGTTATGCCTTGTTTATTTTGATTTCTTTGTAATCAGTCACATGTTAAAGATTTAATGCAATCAACAAAATATGTTCTAGTAAAAATTATTTAACTTGAGATTTAAACTTACAGTATTACTGATTAGCACAGCATTCCTGTGAACTGCACTTTAATAAATTTCTTATTGATTCTCTCCAAGATCTCAATGTTTCATCGTAAATGATAAAAATAATTTTAACTTCCTATAGAAAAATTTTCAAAGGCCACTGAGATATAACAATTAATCCTATCTAATAAAAGGGTAATATGCAAATTGACCATCACTCCAAAACACAAGATGGCTAGCCCCATGTGGACACAAGATGGCCACCACAAGATGGCCAGCAGGGGAGGGCAGTTAGGGACAACTGGGCCAGCAGGGGAGCAGTTAGGCATTGATCAGGCTGGCCAGGGAGTGATTAGAGGGTGAGCAGGCAGGCAAGCAGGAGCAGTTAGGGTCAATCAGGCAGAGGCAGGCAGGTGAGTGGCTGGAAGCCAGCGGTCCTGGATTGAGAGGGATGTCCAGTGGGATAGAGTCTAAATGGGCAGTTGGGCATTCCTTGAGGGGTCCCAGACTGAAAACAGTGCAGACTGGTCTGAGGGACAAGGCCCCCCCCCACTCCCCCAGGCCCGTGCATGAATTTCATGCACTGGGCCTCTAGTTTGATTATAAATAAATTCTGAAACAGTATTTAACTAAAAATATCCCATGCCTTCCTTTAGTGTTATATGAAATTTCAACAATGAATATTACTAAACATGAATCAAAACACTAGGATAACATGCTGCTTACTATAGTTGAGGATCACTGCTTTGAAATTAAATTAAAAAAGGGTTTCTGGTACAGGACAATAAAGAAAAGTAGAAAGTAGCATTACTATACAATATAAAGGGTTTTAATGTTTTTCACTCAAGTGTAACTGTATTCAAATAGGTACATTTGCAGTGACAAAAAGTTTTTAACAACTTTTTCTCATTTTAATATCCTATATAATAAAGAAACAATACGCAAATTGACCATGATACCCTCACACAAGATGGTCACCCCAATGTGGTAAAAAAAATGGCTACCCAAAGATGGCCAGCAGGGGAGGGCAGCTGTGAGCAATCAGGCTAGCAGGGGAGGGCAGTTGGGGGCGACCGGGCCTGCAGGGGAGGGCCGCTGGGGGGGGGGGGGTTCAGGCCTGTAGGGGAGGGCAGTTGGGGGTGACCAAGCCTACAGGGAAGGGCAGCTAGGGGCGACCAGGCCTGCAAGAGAGAGCAGTTTGGGGACTGGACAGGGACAACTGGGCCGGCAGGAAAGGGCAGTTGGGGGTGACCAGGCCAGCAGGG